GGGGTGGTAAAGGTACTGTGACTGAGAGACATTAGGCAGGCTGCTGGGGTCTTGAAAAATGTAGGACATTGAGAGAAATAAGAAATAAGACTGAAAGAGTATAAATGGACCCCAGAACAGAGGAGCTATCTGCAAGATAGCTGATTTGCAATGAAAATGCTCTATTTACAAAATACCTTAACTTGGCTGTTTCTGCTGAGCTAGTCAGGGATGTGTGCTATGAGACTGACCCATCTTTTCAACTTCGCTTCCCATTTCCTTGGCTTTAGAGAGGCACAGCTATTAAGATAGGCTTTTCCTCAACTCGTAATGCCCTGGAACTACATCCAAATAAGCATCAGATGATGATTGATATCAGTTTGAGACCTGTTTGCATTTTAGAACTTGACAGAGGAGAGCATGCTTTGTTAGCATTCATTAAGTGGGAACAAATTTTGCCCTGCTGGGGAAGAGGTCCGTAACCTTTTCTAAGAAAGCTCCTAATGGCTTTTGCAGAGGTCATCAGAGGGCTGCTGTGCTTAGCTTGAACACTGCCTGGAACAATTCTGCCCACGTTTTGAAAACAAACCACCAATTATACATATGTGTGTGTGTGTTCAGGAATACTTCTACGTAGCAGTAGAGAAAGCATTATTTCAGTGAGTCACCTGGAGTTCCCTTCTCTAGCAGGTACCTTCCTTTACCAACTTGCTGCTTTTTCCATTTCTTTTGCAACCGATAAGGTGACGTTATGCTCAGTTGCCTACTTACGGTGTGTGGAGGTCATTTAAAGGAAACTGCTTCCTTTTAATGTTGCTTGTCTGGATTTTTGGTATGGTGAGTGGCCATCAGGTTACTGCTGAAGTGATTTGAGGGTGTCTTTACTTGGAGCTGTGGGTATTCTCAGTAGATCAGTGCAGCACTACTTCTTCCTTAACACCTGAAGCTTCTGCTTGCAGTGCCTAGTTCTGTGATCCTCGTATAATTACTTTGCTCATCAGAGTTGTATTATTATCTGCTAGGCTTGTATAAGTACAGGAAAAAGTACTTCGGAAACAAGCCTCTGTCTATTTTGGTGCAGTGTTGTTCACATGCTGTTCTTCCATTCATGCTTTTCTCTTTTAGGAATTTTGGATCTCATGAAGAGAAGGGAAGTGGATGGCAGCTGTACAGTGTTTTATAATCTAACACGTGAACACATGCAGTCCTGACACTGTCTTTTTGAACCCCAAAGCCTAACAAGGGGATACAAGGACTTATCCCTCCCACCATTGAAAAAATCTCAAAGCAGGATTTCTGAACTGAAGTTACCACGTGTGTAGCTGCTTGGAAAGAAAGTGGCAGAACATCAGCTATGCAAGCTGAGAGTGCTTTTTGCTCATTGTGAACCTGCACCAAGGAGAGGGAGGATATTACTGCTTGCTTTCAGGTTGAAACAATGGCAAATACCATAATTTTTCTTTCACTTGACACTGCCAACTTAAGTCCTTGAAAGTTGTAGCTTTCAGTGTGCTTTAGGGGGCTGCATCAAGCCGACTTCGTGTTTTGTGTTCCAAATAAAGCTGGTCAGTGGCTGAACTTTCAACCTGAGTGTTCAGAGAAGTAGCTCACATACAGTCCTCATCTTTGCAAGCAGAGGCCCATGTCTGATGAAGATACAGGCTTCAGGTGAAACTTCTTTTCAAAGTACCTATCATCTAGTGGGGGCAGAATGAACCAGAGCAGCTGTGGAAGGAAGCAGACTTGCCCTGGCTGTTACTTCCCCTCTCCTCATCCGCACTTCCCTTGCATTAACATGAATGTTTATAAAGAAGTCAAAAAAAAATAATAAAAAAATGGCATCAATGATTGAGACTTTTTTCTGATAATTAGTTTTAGTCTGGATCAGTTCCCTGAGCTGGCTGACTGAGCAGCTGCACGGTGTACAGCCCGTGTCCTGTACCGGCACGTGTGGCCAGGAGGGGGCTGCTGCCATTTCTTCTGGTTGCAGTGCTGCCTTGGTGTGGTGTTGGAATTGTAGCTTGATATCCTTTACCTTTTTGGGTGTAGTGGCTGTCTCTGGTCTGGGAATTTGGACCTTCAGATCATTCTCCCAACACCACTGAGCTTTGAACTAACCAGAGCCTGCAGCTAACTTATTCCTTCTTTTTTTAAGAAACGTTCCTAGGATTTCAGCAGCAATTCATTATTTCTGAAATGTGCATTGGAAGGGAGGAAACTGCTTCGTGATCCTTAGCATTGCCTTTTCTCCCTTCCTCAAGTGGGTTCCTTCAGATGGTAGGAGCTGGCCAGCCCTCCTCATTTTGGCCGAGTAAGGCTGGGGAGTGCTGCTGTGAGCAGCCCTGTCCCTGCGGCCGGGGGAGCATAGCCCATAGCAGGTGCTGGGCAGTATGAGAATAGGGCACTAACCACCTCAGCAAGCGTGCCGTGGTGCAGGAGGGCAACGTCTTCTTTAATGGGGTCTCCCATCCTTGTGGGGTGAATTTTGACTCGTAGGAGTTGTCTGTCTCTGTTCTTTGTCTCTGTCTTTCAATGTGTTGAAACTGTTATAAGGTGAAAATAGCAAACCAGAGAATTTTGTAGGCTCTTGTTTTTGAAATAAGCACCTTTTTAAGGTGTCCTACATCATATTGCGTTATGACTTCTGTGAAGATGGTACATTTTTAGGAGTTACTTAGAATGTAACTTACTGTATCATCTATTTTTCAAATGAAGTACCGCTGTGAGATTGAGACAAGCACATTGCCTCTAGGACACAGCCCAGCTGGCACGCAGGGTGGCCCAGCTCTAGCTGGATGCTGCGACACTTCTGGGAAGAACAGCCCGAGTTTTCACGGTAACCTGTTGGTATGAGGCACTTAAGTGCTATTAAACTAATGGCTTGCCTACCTTTTTTTTTAGTTTCATCATTTATCCACTCGAAATAGTTGGATACAGTGCTCCTACAAACTTCCTGGCTTTGGATGTGTCTCTGAACTGGTTGCAAGAGGGGATATAGTGTCACTGCATCTGTAATCCCTTCTGAGTGCTTACTACCCGTTATTTTTAAGATAACTTAAGCCAGTTTAAGGGAGACAAATTATTTTCAGTTGGAAGGGGATTGTTGTGGAAATGTTAGTATAACTTTTTCTGAGAAAATTTACAAAGTGATGAATTCACTTTGTGGATTTTGATGGGATTAGGTTTATTTTTTGTTCAGGCTAAAATAACCTTTTCCAAAGATAACTTTTCTCAGGCAGTGCTCCTTTGGAAAACCAGGATGGCTTTAGGGCCAGTTCAGAAATAATTTGTATTTTGTCGACCTTAGCGCTGCCACAAGAAACCCGTGAAACCGCGAGCCTGTTGCGTGTTGATTTAAACCAGTTTGAAATTACTAGATGGAATACCAAATACCTTCAGAATGACTCAAGTTGCATTCTAACACATGATTGAGAGGTTTAACCGAGACAGTCACCCAAATTCAGGAAGCTGTTTTCCATTAGCAAAGGATGGCTCCTGAAGCAACCAGTGCCTCGTGCAGGCGGCGCCTGGAGCAGGCCGCTCCGGCTGGCACCGAGCGATGGCAGCGGCACAAGGGCTTAAACTAGGAACCGTACGTACAGCATGAAACTTCAAGATCAGCTTCCCTGTACTTTTAAGGTTTTTAACGAGTTAAGAGGTCAGTGTGCGTCCCCCCGTGCCACGGGTGCTCAGTAAAATGGCTTTGCTTGGAATGTGGGTATGCCCTGCTAGGCCTGGCTGACGCCACGATTTAGCTAAGGCTTTGCTGAGAACTGTACGGCCCGTATTGTAGGGCCTTAATTCTGTTTGCTCTTTTAAGGCCTTGCTCTGAATCAGCTGTACTAGTTTGTAGTGGCTGAGCTATTGTAGACTTGCTGAAAAAATACAGGGGGTGGGAGGGGAATGTGTATGAATGTCATTGTTGTGAAAAGAACTTCACCTTTGGCTTAATCTTAGCTTTGTACTAGTAACTCTGCTCTCTGGAAAGCTTATTTTTATGGATTTTTTTTTTTTTTTTTTGACAGGACTCACCAGCCTAATTTCAAAAGTGTTTAATCAATTTTAGTGCTTCCATAGGTGAATGGAAGCTTGGTATGTTTGGTACTGTTCTGACATTACTCTGAAGTTTCTGCCGAGGAGCGTTAACTTCTGATATCCATGGAGTAATGATCAAGCCTGTAGTTTTTATTTCAGTAAATATGTCATGTTCAAGTATGCTAATACTTAAATGCAGAATGGAGAGAAGAATAACTCGTCAGTGTGTTGTTAACTCTTCCTGCTGTCCTAGGCTTGGTTCTGGTGTGCAGAAGCAAACCATTCTCTCTGTCCTGTTCCTGCTAGACTTGACAGTGGCACGAGCATACTGTGCTAAAATCCTCTAATGCCTCTTGGATTTCTGAAAAACAATACGATCATTATTTTAGGGAAGCGCTGACCTACTCTTTTACTAAAGAACTTGCCTTGCATTCCACGTACTTTCCCCTTTTTAGAATCACGGTTCGTATTCCTCTTGCTTCACAATCACGTAACATCCTTGTGGCAAGTATAGCAGTTGCTTACCTGGAAAAGTAATATTAGAAAAGTGTATTTTTAGCTGCCTTTTGATGTGATGTAGCAGCTGGAAACAAGGAGGGGAGGCAGTATGCGGGGATCTGACAGCACTGCCAGCCACAACGTAGGAACCACTGCTTTGGACTTGAAACCAAAATGTGGGGAAACCATTTTTACAGGCCTGAGTGCAGTGATCCAGATGTTATGACTTTGTTTTTATTTCTTAAGCTTTGTTTGAGGGTCCTCCCCAGGCTTCTATCTGACAAACGTGGTTAATGGATGGAAAAAGTTCTGTGAAGCCTTTTATTGGCACTTATATACATATTTATGCTTTATTATAAGCAGGCAGTTCATGCACACATGGAAGGCATAATTAGTGAAATGTCCCTTTAATACATTGACAGATTGTAAGTATCAAGTTGAAAAGTTACTCAAACAACTAACAAAAATACTGTTTTTTCTTTTTGTAGTAATCATGTCCACAACTGAGAGAAGGCATCTAGCAAGTTCATGTTGAGGTATATTCTCAAGTCAAGACACAGCAGTGGCTCATGCTTTTCTGGGTAAGAATGCTCTTGACTATGACAAAGTAATCGACTTTAAATTTAACTTTCAAAAAATAGTTTGTTAAGCCAATATGGTGGGGATTTTGTGGATGGATGGATTTTTTTGTTTGTTTGTTTGTTTGTTTTGGGAAGTTGTGGGCAGGTATAAAGGACTTCCAACCCATCCAATAGCCTAAAGGCATTTTAGACTAATAGTGCAAAGGAAGAGCAATAGTGAGCAATAGTGAATAATGTATGACTGGTCAGAAGAGCAATTCTGAGTCATTGTCACAAACATATGTATAGTTCGTAGCCTTCTTTCCCAAGGGAAGGGAGATTATATATTGTCTCTTCATTTTTGCTTCCCAAAACTTTAAATTTTGTTGGCTGGCTTCAGCTGAATTATGACAACGGGTTAGTAGGTGTCACAAAGATAAATTTATATATCTTGGTGGCTTGAAAGAAGAAGAAATGGAGAATGTGAGAGAAAAGTGGGTAGAACTTAACCTTATATATATGGTGTTGACAGGCAGACACATCAAACGTATGCTGCTTCTGCGTAAGTGTGGATAATCTGAGAGACTCCACAAGCAGCTCTGATTATTGTGATGGCATGATAGGTGCTTGTATAGTTTCTACAAATCTGTACATGGTCTGGTGCTCTTAAAACTCCCCCAGTCCTCCAGCTTGGTCCAGACCACTCCAGAAAAAAATAATGTAGCAGTTTGTTAAATCAGGAGGACGTTCCTCACTCATGTGCTTACACACTTTCACTTTTAACATATGCACAGAACTCTGTAGAGTCTGCTACATGTAAGACTTCCTGTCTTAGCTAGTTTTTCTCTATCTAAAAGTTACTTGAAAAAGTGTCTTCCTTCTTAACAACTGCTTGGGTTTTATTCAGATTATCATCAGCACTGTGTTCTAGGTAACTTGCACCAGCAATCTACAGAGGCTGTTAACATCTTTTTTTTTTTCTTTTTTCCTTCCATCCACCTCCCTGAGTCCATGCTAAGTTCTTAAGGTTTTATTTTATGTAATTAGGTGTAGATACCTAGCTTACTGGTTTTGCTGAAGTATTTGAGGAAGGAATGGGGGAAAAATCTTTTTTATTCCTATAGCAGTTAGGAAGAATTTCAAGTCATCTGTTCGTAATTCTCATGTAAGCCATACCTCTGACTTATCCTCAGTGCCAGTGGATTCTGCTACAGTCATAGGCTTACAGCTGTGCTTCTATCTTAAGGGGCTTCTAGGCTGCATTGCTAGACTATTGCTTCCTTGTCTATCATCCGCGTTATTTCACAAGACCCAGTGGGTTTGATCTCTGTTTTAGATTCCTGTCTAGCTGGGGGGGGAAAAAAAACACAGCAGCAACAGAGGAATGTTACTTCAAAATAATGTATATCCATACAAGTGAGCAGTTTCCATTAAGAGTTAAATATGATGACATGTTTTAGTTCTTTTAAGTTCAGCACTTCTCTCAGAACTTAATTAGATCTAATTTAGTTTGGCATCGCCTGACTTCTCAGTACAGAATTAACCTGTTTCTGTGTCCTAGGGCAGTCCTGTGATTTTGGCAGTCCTGTTCCAGTTATCAGACTATGTTTCTGAAGAAGCAGTTGCAGAACACACACTGCTAATGTGTTTATCTCTTTACTGTATCTCCATGATTCACTATCACTGTTTTTACTGCAGAGCTGCTTTCTTTTTAAGTGCTCTTACTAAAGATTGAAGAGTTTCTTGTGCTCTTTTATGACTTGAGTAATAAAGCCAGATGTTTTTTAGATGTATGTATGCATAGATGTCTGTCTGGCTGTTACTAATGTATTAGAGGCTTTATAATTCTAAAGTTTTGCTGATACCTTATTGCTTCCCTTTTTTTTGTGTGAATGCTGAACACTCCAAATTTCAATTTTTGTGCAATTTCATCTTGTCTTTTGTAACTGTTCTCATAGTTGGGAGTCACCAAAATTGTTCTTTGTCAGGATTTGTTTTATTACTACCTACTGGAAGCTTATCAGGCAGTCATAAGTTAAATGTGACACCTAAAATGAAGAATTTGAGATCGTATTTCCTGTCTGTCAAGTGCAATTATGCAGCTCTACCTAAATTTTTAATCATCTGATGAAAGTACAGAGAGGGCTGTAAATCAAATGTTTGTAATTTCCAAAACATTTTCTTCTAGGTAATTTTTCGAAGTCTCAGAACGGTGTGATGCCTGCCAGTGCTACGTATCTGTGCAAGTGTGAGGGCACTTCAGCTGTAGTGTGTTCAGTCTGTAACTTAATTGATAACTGAAGGTGTGCTCTCATTTTTTAAACTGTTCTATTACAATATTTTTTCTTCTTTTGAATTTAGATAACATAATCCATGGATAAAGTGGGAAAGATGTGGAACAATTTCAAATACAGGTGCCAGAATCTCTTCAGTCATGAAGGTGGAAGCCAAAATGAAAATGTGGTTGTGAACACCAGTAGTTGCTCATCTGCTAAAGACAAAGCTATCCAGATAACTGGTGTGGCCCAACAGCAACCCAGCAGCCCTTTGAGAGAAAACATTGCTTTGCAACTAGGTTTAAGTCCTTCCAAGAATTCGGCAAGGCGGAACCAAAACTGTGTCACAGAAATTCCTCAGATTGTTGAAATAAGCATTGAGAAAGAGAACGACTCATGTATCACCACGGGAGCGAGGCTTGCTCGCAGGGACTCTTACTCTCGGCATGCTCCTTGGGGTGGGAAGAAGAAACATTCCTGCTCTACCAAAACCCAGAGCTCCTTGGATACGGAAAAGAGATTTGGTAGAACGCGAAGCGGTTTGCAGAGGCGGGAGAGAAGGTATGGGGTGAGTTCTGTCCATGATATGGATGCAGTATCGAACAGGACAGTAGGCAGCCGTTCCCTGCGACAGCGTCTCCAGGACACTGTTGGGCTGTGCTTTCCCATGCGAACTTACAGCAAGCAGTCCAAACCTCTCTTTTCTAACAAAAGAAAGATCCACCTCTCTGAACTGATGCTTGAGAAATGCCCTTTTCCTGCAGGCTCCGATCTGGCTCAGAAGTGGCACCTGATCAAACAGCACACAGCTCCTGTGAGTCCACACTCAACCTTTTTTGATACGTTTGATCCTTCCTTGGTCTCCACGGAAGACGAAGAAGATCGGCTGCGGGAGAGACGCAGGCTCAGTATCGAAGAAGGGGTGGATCCCCCTCCCAATGCCCAAATACACACTTTTGAAGCTACAGCACAGGTTAATCCATTGTATAAACTGGGACCAAAGCTAGCCCCTGGTATGACTGAGCTGACCGGGGACAAAAATCTAACCCCTCCAGGAAACTGCGACTCTGAGGAGGACACGACAACGCTCTGCCTGCAGTCACGCAGGCAGAAGCAGCGTCAGATGTCCGGAGAGAGCCACGGCCACATCAGCAGGCAGGGGGCTTGGAAGGTGCACACTCAGATCGACTACATCCATTGCCTTGTGCCAGACTTGCTGCAGATCACAGGTAACCCCTGCTACTGGGGCGTGATGGACCGCTACGAGGCAGAAGCACTTCTGGAGGGTAAACCCGAAGGCACTTTTTTGCTCAGGGATTCTGCGCAAGAGGACTACCTCTTCTCTGTGAGCTTCCGTCGCTATAACCGATCGCTACACGCACGCATCGAGCAGTGGAATCACAACTTCAGTTTTGATGCCCACGACCCCTGTGTGTTTCACTCCTCCACTGTCACAGGGCTTCTGGAACACTACAAAGACCCTAGCTCTTGCATGTTCTTTGAACCGTTGCTTACCGTGTCCCTGAACAGGACCTTCCCCTTTAGTCTGCAGTATATCTGCCGGGCAGTAATCTGCAGGTGCACTACGTACGATGGAATCGATGACCTTCCTCTACCTTCAATGTTGCAAGACTTTCTAAAGGAGTATCACTATAAGCAAAAAGTCAGGGTGCGATGGCTGGAGCGGGAACCTATAAAAGCAAAGTAAACGGAAATCAGAATCCCCAATAAGCTTACAGAATATGCTTTCTTGTATGTTACAGTTTAACTGCAGCGAACGCACCAACAACGTCTAGCTTTTTTGCAATATCCTATTTAAGCTGAGTGTTAGTATCCTGTCAGATGCTGCCTGCTGTTAATCAAACTAAGTTGTGATGCCTCTTGGAAACAATAAGCAGACACAATTCTGCACGTTTTTCATTAAGGCCTAATGAAAATATTTTTGCTAATTCCTGAATATTTTGTTTTTATAGCTGTAGTAATTGGATGAAGAAACTATGAGGCATTTTCCGTGGGGCATTCATGTGATGCTAATAAAGAAAGACTTTATTGGAGGAGCATTTTTGCTAATATTTGAAGTATTTTTTTAAAATACCTTCTTGAAAACTTTTCACTTCTCAAAGTACTAATTTAGCTCGCGGATAATTTTGCAGATAGTAGTGAATAAGAGTATTTTCTTTTAATCAAGAGCAGTTCACTAGAAGCAGGGATGGCCTGCAGTCCATTAAGAGTTAACGGCCTTTTGATGCTAGCAGATGAATCATGCTTTTCTCAGTGTATAGGGTTTCCTAATCGTTAAGACTTGAATATGCCTGCTCAGTACTGTAATTCTATTTTAAACACTTGGAGATTTAAGTGGCATTGTTAGCAAAAGTAATACTGTCTTGGACAGTTAAATACCTTCCAGCGTGAATTATTGATTCGATGGCAGGGCACAGAATTAGATTACTGCCATGAAACAACAGTTTGTGTGTTTTTCTAAAGCAGAATTTGGTGGCCTGACCACTCGTCATTTACAATGGAAGGTAATAGTGAAGAGAAGCAATGTTTTTTATTTAAAGTGTCTGATATTTTTATGGAGAAAATTACGAGTGGTTGAATTATTATAATCAGAATACAAAATCTGACATATCTGAAATAAATGTCAGGTTTCAAAGGTACTGTTACACTTTATTTGTAAATATCTTTCCATTTGCGCTTTTTTAAATGTTTTAAAGTAATATGCACTGATAATAGTTTCAACAGATTACTTGGAAACAAAATTCTAAGTTCTGTTTGCTTATTTAATTGGAGATGGAACTGAAAATAGTTCCGTCTTAGACATTTTTGCACTAAAATTTTGTTGGAATGCCCTGTCCCGTTTCATGTTTTGTACCAATTACGAGTGCTCCCTAGTTTCTTTACCAGCTGCTACAGTACGTTATTACTTACTTCTCTATGGCAGTGACCTGTGCGAGGTAGGGAACATCTTGGCTGCAAGTACAATAAACGTTATTCTTGTATGCTACACTAACCCTTCTATTGATGTATTTTTCTGCTTGCTGTGCCTTGTTCTGGCTTTTTGTGCTAATAAAGTACAGTATGTTCAGTGTTATACTTGTATATCTGCTCTGTTTTTATATATTCACGTAACCTGTAGCAGTTAACTGAGTTTTTAATAGGCTTTTCTTAGTCCTTAGTGTAGGTAATATTGGCCAGCACGCCATGCTCCTGCCTGGGTTTTGTTACGTTGCTTATCAGAAACCCGACGGTGTACACCATTGAATGTTTCTGTAGTCACAGCGAAGTAATGAACTTGTCCGCAGGCATAGAGCATTTTAAAGTTTTTTGTAAAGGATAAATGTTAAGCAAAAAAAATATTCTAAAACATTATTGATCCCCTGTAATAGTTGCTGAATGTGTTTTAGCTTGTTATATAGCTAACTGCTAAGCTTAATATTTTGATACTCCCCACTGAGCAAGGAATGGTTATTCCTCTAAATTGACAGTACAGCAGTGGCATTTGTTCACTTTTAGACTATTGTAATAAATAGATGTACACACAAACTGGCCAAATGTCCTGTTTTTACCAAAGAATACTGTCAATTTACGTTGGGGTATTTTGTAGTGGAAATCAGAGTGGAGAGGCGCAATTTCTGTTCTATCAAATATTTATCCTAAACTATGATAAACCAAAGTATTTGACAACTTCATCGGAACTTATGTAGTGTATACATTTATGTTGGTGGAGCTTAAAACTTTTACGTCAACAGTGTCGTCATTTTTTTCCTGAATACACAATGCACCTAAAGAAGAATGACTTAAATAATTTTGTAATGACTGGAACAGCACTACATAGAAGCTTATACTGAAAGGGGTTCATCTGAAGCACCCAGGAAGCACTTTAAGACGTGTTTATATGCTTGTGGAAAATCTGTGATCCCGTTATGCATTCTTTGTAGTAGATGATCTTTCCTGTGTTAAAACTTCAACTGTTAAAATGAAGCTTTGTTTAAAGTATATAAATACTGAGTTTATGTACGTATGTGTACAAATGTGCTGATGGTCACTTCAGTTTTTGGAATTGTGTGTGTCATTGGATATGCAACTCCTGGTTTAAAACCTGCGTAGAAAGAGGAAAAGAGTCACCAGCATGAAATTGCACCCAAGTGTACCTTCACCGTGTCATTCTCACTGTTCCCTTGATCGGATCGGAATTCCAGATGAGTTTACTTTAAAAATCTTGCTTTTAATATTAGTATCATTCAGTCAACCTGCAACCAAGTTCTGTCCCAGTGTGGGGGCCTGGTTTCTGTTTACACCTGTTGCAGTTGCTTGTCATAAACTAGCTGATGCGATTCTAGTTATAACATTATCAACGTGGTCAGGAATACACATTCATTCATTTTTTTTTATCATGTAGTGAATCTTTAGAAAAATACTGATAATAAAAACTAATCTCAAAGTTGGCTTTCATTTGTGTAAATGGTCTTCACAGAGAGGATTTATTGCTCCCTCGAGACAGACACGCAGACGCACACAAATGAGAACAATGATATATATCTCTACAACAGTTTTAAAGCTTTGCTTCACTGAAATATACAGAATAACTTGCTAGTGTGCTTATGCTAAAAATTACATAAGCAGACTTTAACAAATATAACTGACTTAAGTTGCAGATTATTTTTCTAATCAATTATTTCATTTATTTTCAGATCTAAAGTCAATGAAACGTTGGTATGTTGAGAATGCAAATACTTGGCACCTCTGCTCAAGGACTCTGTTCTAACATTCTGGTTTTGGGTAGAAAATCTTACAAAATCCTTTTAAAAAGATGGGCACAAGCAGCCAGTTTTCTTACAGAGAGATTCAATGTAATGATTCCAATCTGATCTGCTTACGTGACAGATAAGTGTTTGGTACTCAATGATATAAAGTGTTCTTGGAGGTGGTTCTTTTTGCTGTAGAAAGAGCTATAAGGTAGAGCTTACTCGGTGGGCTAACCATCTTTAAAAAGAACAAGGTGGTGGTGCTATGTGGGAGTTTGGATCTTTGAATACTAGCACAACTTGGTGGTTTTGTTACGTGTAAATGCACCCATCATAATACTTCAGGAACTCTGCAGCAGTTCTACTTTACCAAGAGAAGGAAGTTGTAATAATTGTAATTTCCATATAATGTTACCCTACACTGGAAAATTGTGTAAATAGAATAGTATGGCTATGGCAATGACAATGTGTGTGGAGGGTTTTACTCTAACTAGATCATTGTAGAAGACCATTAAACCATATATTTTTTAAAGAATAGGGCATTAAATTAAATCTTTTTAGGATTTTTTTTCATGTACCCATGGAATTGGACAAATGTAGTCCACTGACTGTATCTGAGGGTCTTTTGTTATAGTTTTTGAATCAGTTTTGCAGACAACTCTTCTGGAAGTACTCTTAAGGATAAGGACAGGTCCAAATAATTTGCTTGTCAGAATTAAACTTCTCTTAAGCAATAAAGACATCTTTTGTGTATGTACTTAAAATTTTGTGTGTATTTGAAGACTTCTAAGTTAGACTGTCACTTTGTGAGTAAGATGCATACGGTCTGTGAAAGACCCGTGTGTGTATCTGCGTAACCCCCTCCTGTGCTAGACTTCATCCTGACAGTCAGTCGCTCGCATCGCCAAGTCTGCATTCAAGGTTCTGCACGATTTGGAAGCAAGCAAACGTTCTGCTTTTCTTTGATACAAACCCAGTTTGCTTTAGTCTCCACGTGCAAGCCAGGCTTCTACAAAATACTTGCAGAGTGCTTTAAAGCCTGTATCTGCTGTAAAATTGCTTGCAGGGCTGGAGGTGTAAAGTTAGAAGGTGCTGAGTGCCATACAGAGTGGTTCTGCAGGGAGCATGCTGCTTTTTCTCAACTGAATTTTCTGTGATTATTTCTAAAATAGCTATTTATCTCATTTTTTAAAACAAATCATATTTAAAATGATGAAAATACTTTTGATTTCTGTTCTTCTGAAGTATGGCTGTGGAATGATATGTGCTAACTCTTGGTCTTCAAAAACCTGCATAGCCCCTGGATAGGTATGTGTGCAGTGATGGGCTTTTTAGAAGCTACCTGAAGCACACCAATATCCTGAGCATTAATATATTGTTTTTTTAAATAACTCTCTCTTACTTTGTGCCTGACTTGCATATATTGTAATGAAAGAACTACTTTCTTTGCACTTTCACTTGTAATTATATATTATAACCTACAAGCTTGGTGTGTTTTGCTGCTGTTGCCACCCTTCCATAAGCAGTTGTCTCCTGCCTGTGACCGAAGGAGATTTTTTTGTTCTTAATTGCTTTTTTGAAAAATATTTTTAGGCAGAAATGAGATCAGTTGGCTTTTAAAGTGTTAATTCTTACAAAGCATGTTATGACACCAAGTGTTTTCCCTTTCACAAGTGACATACAAAGAATCACGTAACTCGGCCGTTGGTTGCGTCTACCAAATGCAGTTGACTTCAGATATCTGAATTTTATGCATTTTTTTTTTCCTTTTTCATTAAAAATGCTACTAGCAAGAACTTAGAAAAAAAAAAAATAGCTTGATATCTTCACAGTAAGATACTTAAAGCAAATGTTTTGCTATGAGGTAATGATCTCTGGAAGATTCTTTTTTAAGATTCCCCTCTTGCTATGAATTAAATCAACATTCTTTTTTTTTTTTTTTCCCAAAAAAGCTTCTTGATGACTTTAACCTTATATTTAGGGAATGAAAATAAATCTGTTCTTTCACTTAATTTGCTTGCACGTTGCCATACTGATTCGATAGTATCTGTTTTAAGAAGCAAAATTTAAATCTGTTATTTCAATGAAGCATTGCCATTTTTCTTGTTTCTGTACACTATTCCATTTTCAAATACTGTACATAAGTGGGACATTAACCTGATGAAGTCTCTCTAAATTCATCGTTATCCAGGTAACTATTGTGTATCTGCTCTTTAAGCTGGTTTGATGTGCACTTTGTAAATATGCATTAAAACTTCAGCTGTTATCAGATTTCTTAGGGCCAACACAATGTATTTATGAGCTGAAGCTTATGGTGCTCGACCATTCTTTTTCCTGTCTTCAGCAGGAAGAAAAAAAATACATAATTGTGCGTGTGTGATGTAGGTCAGGTTACAGATTTACTTGTTAAGCACACAGCTACACTGACAAGCAGAAACATATCTGAACTTGCTTGTCTGGAGAAAAGCAAGCTCTGATTTCTCAGCAGGATTTCTAACTTGGTGGCACGTTGGCAAAGAGGAAGCAGAATGAGGTTTTGTTCTTTGAGGAGCTGTTAAATTGAGCATTGTGTGTGCTTCCTGTGCGATAAGGTATATTTTTAGAGTCCTGAGAATTTTAATAGCTTTTGAAAGATAGAAGAGTACTTTGCTGCTTTATCACTCCTTGCTTTCATATTGTAGTTTTGCAAAAAAGCACGATGAGAGATTTATTAAGAACGAGTATGTGTAGTCACTAACTGTTTAAGCACTACTTTGTAATATCTTTATGGAGATAGCAAATTCTTACATGATTATATTTAAACTGTTTTGGGAGAATGAATAATGACACTGTGGGCACAAATTAATTCAGATTGCACTATAAACTTTCTTACCAGAAGCCTTCATTCTTACAAAACTATGCGATCCCCGCACGGAAATCTGTAGCTTCGGTGATGCAGTCGTTGGTGGGCGTCCAAAAACGCGGCACCCAGACGGTCCCTGGACCTTTTCCCGACATTCCAGTTGCAGGGGCCCTGGCAGGCCCGCGGGGCACTCGAGGAGTTGGCTCGAGAGCGTGCCAGGCATTGCCCGGCCGCCCTGTGCCAGCGGTGCCACTCGCCCCACGCCAGCGCCTCGTGTGACGGTGCTCTTCTAGGCCCTGCTGGCTTTGGTGGCTTTTATCCCACTGCAACTTAAATGTTTCTCCATCCTGCCCAGCTTGTCTTTATGAACCGGTTGCCGAACTGTCTTGCATCTTAATAGTGAGAAAATAATGTGATTTATGGCTACCCAACCAGTGTATGAAGTAATAGATGGCTCTGTCTTAATAAACGGGGTATAAACTACCGTATTGGTTTCCTTCTATGTTTGTTTGGGAGCAAGAAGCTTGTGGTTTTAAAGAAATCCTTTTAAATCTATGCTGTGAATAGATATTTCTACAAATATTTAGTTGCTGTACAGTCAAAGGGATAAGTAGTTGTTAGATTGAAATAATCAGTAACTCATGTTTATATCAGTCTGTTTCTGTTGCATCTGAAATAAATGAGCGAAGAGATTGAGAGACCAATAATTATCCTCTTTAGAAGTTTTATCCCAGCAAGATCTTAATTTAGTGAGCTTTCTCTCACATCTCAGTGTCTGTGTCGTTGTTGTGTCCCCCCCCCCAGTTACGGGTGGTGTATACGTGATTTTGGGATGCACACGTGTGCGTTCAACCCTAGCTAGCACAAACTAAGCTGTTTTCCTGCAAAACGGGGGAGGTTCTCCTTTGGGCCTGATGGTGAAAACCGAGCAAAATCCTCCTTGTGAGGAGTTGTAAATGGGCACACGGGCAATGTGATGTTCTCTGAAAGTATTATCGTTTTTTTTCTGTGCAACTTTTTCAGCTTTCTCAAGTTTTTATTGTATTTTTCTAGCAAGTTGCTCCTGAAAATACATCTTTTCTAGGCTCTTCTACCTATGTCAGCTGATCATCACTAATGAACTCATAGAAAACAAAACAGCTGAAAACGCAGTTTTGTTTTTGGGCTTTTAAGTAGAGGTTGTCTTTGTGGTTTTAGCTTCACTGAAACATGCGGAAGGTTAATTGCCTTAACCTCTGCTGAAATAAATCCACTGCTGATTAATAAATGAAAGTTACAGAGATTAACTTACCTCTTGTAATGGCATGTTTAAAACATGAGGCTATGATTCTGTTAGACTTATTGCAGAGATCATTATTCTTAATACTAATGATTATTTGAACACTCAAAATATTTAAGTTCTGTACTGAAAATTTATTAAAACATTTCAAAAGGGGTTGAAACACCAGGTAATGTGAAGGTAAGATTTCTGTAATCAGTTCTGTGCATCATTTGCCCTAGAGGAGGGAGTCCACCTCAGAAAGCTGTTCATGTTGTGGCTGTGCAGTGTACAAGAGGTCTCTAAGTACGTAGAATAGGATATAGAGACATACAGTAAATATTGGAAGGGGTCCTAGAATGAACACGGCTATATGCATTAGTTGTGCGGAAGAGAACGTGTACCTATATGGGATGTTTCTGGGGCTTCCAGTTGTCCACATTTACTTGGACACCCAAATCTGTACAGTAGAGATTCCTGATGCAGCGTTACTGCCACTGAACCCAGAGGACCGGGGCAAATGAGTTCATAAAAAAAGGGTTTGTGGTATTGCTTCATGTCTGAAGCAGCTGGCGATGTGAAAAGTGTTAAAATGACTCCACATCTGAGCTTCCCAGAAGTTAATGGGATAGGCGTGGGTGAAACAGTGCTGACAAGACCTGTTTGTGATTGTTCTCACTTTGCTGTCCCACCAGATGTCCCATGAAATCTGGGAAGTCAAGGTTAAAAACCTGCAGTAGGACTTCTGTAGTCTCTTCTTAACTGAAGTGAATAGTAAGTACTATATATAGGTTCTCTAATCTTCAGAATAGTTTTACTTGTAGCTCTCATCTCTTACGTTAGATGGAATATGTAAATTCATCTCATTTGTAAGAGTGGGAGACAGATCTTTGTAAGGTCACAAAGGGCTGCCAAGGGTCAGACTTCCTAGATGTGGGGTAAGTGGGACATGTTGCTGCTCGCTGTCTCAGGTTTCCCTTTAACAGAGGAAGAATGATAGTGATACTTGATCCATTTGTGAAAGACTTGGAGCTCCAGCGATGAGCAGCATAATAGAACTGATCTGTGCAATTTGGGAGTCTCTGACACCCTTCCTTCACTGAGCGGTAGGCCTGAGGTAGACTGTGTGGGTACTCAGTATTTGATTGAATGTTTCTGATCAAGTGGTAGCTGACTGCTATGGGCTTGATATACGTGATATACAGGTATGTAGGGTTCTGTGTGCCTTATGCCCTTTATTTCTTAACCTAGCCCTTTGTCAAATGAGAGTTTGTTTTTTTCCCATGTGAAGCGTTGTTTTCTCCTTGCAAGCTTTGTTGTTGAGACACTATATTTGACTTCTCGCTTCTGTCATTTTTATTTTTTGTATCCAATCTGATAAAGCTGATAACCTGCAAGCTGTGTGCGAGGAGAATTTCCTGGCATGAGCCAATGAATTGCTGAGATTGTTATCATTCTGTACTACTGAAGCACGCCGTTTTATTTATACACCGTTTGTCTTCAGTTTCATTATGTGCCAAGAAGAAAAAAGCCAGACTTCTCCTTCAAACGATTGCTTGTATAACCACACTATGGACATGCTTGTGCCTGATCCCGAAGCCAAGTCCTTCTGCCCTAGCAGTATTTGTAAAGGTTCTCTCCTTCCCTGCTCCCCTGGCTGGCATACGTGCTGTGTGCTCTTGGTTGGAGGATGCCTTCACCCTTTCTTCTTCTAACTGTCCAGTTGAGCTGGTGTTATCAAACTTGTGTTTTAGCTAAAAATTTGCTTTCTCATCCCTGCGGGCATGGCTTTGCACTATGGCTGTGGTTTGAGCTATTCTTAATGGCACAGCCATCTTTGACCATCAAATGAATCTTGCCAGTGTTTGTAAATGGTGTTTGTAATTAATAAATTAAAAAAAAAAAAAAAAAATCAAGTAAAAGCATATGGGAAGCATTCTATGACTGGAGATTTTAAGCCAAGAGCTTCTAAGAAGCATCCACAGTTTCAGTTTTTTTGCCTTTTCTTCCCGAAGACTTTAGCTTCATCTTGATTCCATGCTTCATGGTGTCAATCCTTACGCCTGGTCACCTCAGCTAGTTTATTTTACTTTGGAGGCAAAAGGAAAGGGTACTGGTAAATAATTCCAGCACAAGCTTCGAAAGAACCATTTCCAAGACTGGTATCTGTTTCACTTTAAGATCTCCTGAATTTCTCAAGTGTCTGGTATCTCTCCCATGAATTTAAGACTGGCACCAGCTCCAGAGATACAGTTGCCCAGAAAAGTTAAGTAGTGCCCTGAAACACCACTTGGCTGCTGCTCTTGGTAGATGCCTTGGAAGTCACTTTCCAGCAGGTCATCACTTACTGCACTACATACTTAGTAGACATTGGTGCCCTCCAGAGCTTGCCCTAGATCCTAATTTTGCTGCAACAGGTTTTGTCTAACTAAGCAATTTGCCAATCAGTAACACTGATCGAGCAGATAGTGATTGACATTACATTTCAGATCTGCTCACAGATCTTCAGCCACCATCTCCACTCAAAGCCCCCTTCGTTGTGCTCAGTCTATGAGTTGTATGGTTCTCATTGTAAAATCATGGCTTCGCTTTTCTGTGGTGAGATATCATAATTAACAGTAGTAATGAATGCCACAGTGTGCAAAACCAAGTAATTGGATTATCCACTTGAAGTTTAGTCATCACTTTTCCCCAGGGACATATTCCTCCCATTTTGTTTTGGCATGCTGTCTAGTGTTTTAGTGTGATAAAAATTTGTGTATAGCCATGTTTGCTTCTCAAACGCTGATTCTTACCTTCATCATGTGATGACTGGAAACCTTCAGGATTTAGAAACATTCCCTTTCGTTCTCTTTTCCTTTCCCTCTGTATGTTACTTTAAAATCTATTTCCTTAGGGGATATTTAAACTGGTTTAGACATCTGTGAAGATCAGATCTTTGAGGCCATGGCAGGCCTCCTGATGGCTGCCAAATAAATGAAAAGAGTGAGCAATATACACCCTTACAGCTGACCCACCCTGTACTGTCTCCATCTTGACAAAATTAGTTTTTGCTTTTCCTTTACTTTTCTATCTGGGCAGAGGTGAGTTTCTTTGTGCTAATTACTGTTCTTTTTTGTTTGTTAGTAAAACTGTAGTTGTTTTTACCCGAATCCTCACATTGTATCTTGGATATTGAGGAACCTTTGGTTTTCTGTTTGATCACTGTGACACTGGCTGGGAGATCCTTTGACAGCAGCTGCCTAGGGCTCTGCAATTTTATCTAAAGGCTGTGGTAACAAAGAGCTGGTTGGGACACCATCTATAATGAAAATCAGAGGATGGAAATATCAAATGTGGTTAAAATGCCACCACCAAAGCTGGAAAACTCAGATGTGACCAAGTGAGGAAAGCATGTATCTGAACTGTGGTTGTACCTTTACCAAGGAGAGTACTATTGTGGAGGTTGCTGGGTACAACGTGGTTTCAGCAGAACAGTACCCTTCTCACTGCTCTTCTAAGGGCTGCAAAATACACATTAGACACATCATTTGTGCAGCTCTAAGGGGTAGCGAGGCCTATCTACCATGTGAATAGTCAGTAGAAATGGACATTGCTCCTGGCAAAACCTTGCTTCTGTGACCTGCTCTGAAAATACATTCAATCAGAGTGACCTCAATGAGGAGGCAATACATGCACTGCACCTGCTCCAGATGCATGGTGAGCAAAGTGCATGCTGCTGGGCATGTAAATGGTCACAGGAATAGTGAAGGCATCTGTGTGATGGTTCAGCGGTGGGTATAAATGGCAAGGTGGGAGCTTCTTGTAAACAGTGTGACTATTCTGGAAGTGCCAACCACATCTGGGTCTGCATGTCGCCTGCCGCTTTCTGTAGGGTATCTTCTAGCTCTAGAAATATGGAATTTGCAGCTGTGGGTTTTAATTATTTCTGTGTATTGTAACAACTTAATTGGTTCTTTCTACAGTAATTAAATGCTGTTGTTTGAGGTAAGAAACTAGTATGAGTTTACAATGGGAAACTAGGAGGGATCTTTGAGAGGGTGTTCTGGTTTATTCTGGGAATTTGAGTAGCTAGACTCAGAAACAGTGGTCTGCCTTATGCAGCACTGCCTGTCTGAGGCTGTAGAGTGTTCACTGGTTACCTCCTGGGGTGCACCCAGCAGCCCCCGTTCCCTAATCATCTAGCCTGTAAAATTATTGCACCTTTCAACCTGTGAATTTGTACA